CGGCGGACGGCGCTCCGGAGCCCCCGCGCCGGCCAGGAGAGCAGCGGGAGCCTGAGGGTGCAGTGGGATCAGCCAGGGGCACCGGGCAGGACCTGGGGCAGCGGTGGGAGCGGGGCCCGTCGCGACGGTGCCGCCCGGAGCGCTTGGGGCACTCAGAGCGCTCAGAGCACTTGGGGTACTCGGACCACTTGGGGCACTCAGACTGCTCAGAGCGCTTGAGGCACTCGGACCGCTCGGAGCACTTGGGGCACTTGCACCGCTTGGGGTACTCGGGGCACTTGGACTGCTCAGAGCACTTGAGGCACTTGGACCACTCGGAGCGCTTGGGGCACTCGCACCGCTTGGGGTACTCGGGGCACTTGGACTGCTCAGAGCACTTGAGGCACTTGGATCACTCGGAGCGCTTGGGGCACTCGGACCGCTCGGGGTACTCGGAGCACTTGGGGCACTCGGACTGCTCAGAGCACTTGAGGCACTCGGACCACTCGGAGCGCTTGGGGCACTCGGACCGCTCGGGGTACTCGGGGCACTTGGAATGCTCAGAGCGCTCGGGACACTTGGAGCGCTTGGAGCACTCGGGGTGCTTGGACCACTCAGAACACCCAGAGCGCTTGGACTGCTCAGGGCACTCAGAACGCTCGGGGCACTCGGACCGCTCGGAGCCCTTGGAGCGCTCGGGGCACTCGGAACACTCGGGGCGCTCGGGGCACTTGGAGCGCTCGGAATGCTCAGGGCACTCGGGGCGCTTGGAGCACTCAGGGTGCTCGGATCACTCAGAACGCTCGGAGCACTTGGACTGCTCAGGGCACTCAGAATGCTCGAGGCACTCAGAACGCTTGGGGCACTCGGAGCGCTCGGAGCCCTTGGAGCGCTCGGAACACTTGGAGCGCTCAGAACGCTCGGCCAGCTCCATGGGGTTTCTCCATCGCTCCTCGGGGGACAGGTGCGACAGGTCGACCTGCAGGGAAGGCAGAGCGGCGCTGAGCGGGCGCCCCGCGACGCCGGTTCGGTGTCCCCTTCTGCGGGGTATCCCGCTCCGTGGGGCTGCCCCGCTCCGCCGAGTACCCAGCTCCATGGGGTTTCCCATTCCACGGGGTTTCCCGTTCCATGGGGGATCCCGCTCCACGGGGTATCCCGCTCCATGGGTTATCCCACTCCATGAGTTATCCCTGTCCATGGGGGATCCCGCTCCACGGGGTATCCCGCTC